TAATAATAATAATAAAAGAATATACAGAGCAAGTGATGCATGATGCAGTTGCTCACCACCTGCCAACCGATGCCCAGCCGTGACCGTCCCTGAGTAGCGATCGCTGCCCCCCGGCCAACTCCCCCCAGCTTATATACTGAGCATGACATCATATGGTATGGAATATCCCTTTGGCCAGTTTGGGTCAGCTGTCCTGGCTATGCCCCCTCCCACCTTCTTGTGCACCTCCTTGCTGGCAGAACATGGGAAGCTGAAAAGTCCTTGACTACCATAAGCACTGCTTAGCAACAACTAAAACATCAGTGTGTTATCAACATTGTTCTCATGCTAAATCCAAACCACAGCACTATAACAGCTACTAGGAAGAAAATTAACTCTATCCCAGCCGAAACCAGGACACTTCTGTTCTCTTTTCCTGTTCAAGTATCTATATCCAAAATACACTAAGTGCGACAGAAGAGCCAAAGTTATCTTTCTCTGTGGGTAACTGCATAATACTAAGGAAATAATAACTCCAGTGAAATTAGACTTTTAGAAAAAGATGGCATCTGGAACCCGTCTTCTGCTAGTATGTGGAAACTCTTGAACAGCGAAAAGATTTTTTAGTTATATAACTTCCTTCCCTCCTGGAGGCCTAAGTGATTATTATATTAGCACTTAATTTTCCTACTGCCCTTCATGCCCTACTGTCACACAATGCCCAATAGATTTGTCATTACAATAGAGATGTAGGTTTTGCTTACTGCAGCATGCCCAAAATGAAGGTGATGATTATTGCTTCTAGCTCACTTGTGCCCTTCCTATATTGATTTCTTATACTGCCATAATCTAAATACCATTTAAACTAATGGCAGGTTTCTGTATGACAAGTGTGTCAGTCTGGAGCATCCCTCCATGTAATGCTGAACATGAACAAGTATCCAGGTGACATGGAGCAGAAAACTGTGTCTAGGAGAAGATTACATGCCAGCAGAGCTAAAAGGTGGTAGGTGGGCTGGGCGAGAGCTTTCCTGGAAGATTTCAAGTGTGCTGGAGTGGGAAGGATTTCAGATACCTGCAGAGAGCCTGGCGGCTCACACCGCAGCCTCTGACCCAGAATTGCGCAGGGCGCAGTTTCTCTCTGGGTAAGTGCAACTTGTGAATCTTCTTCTGTTAATTTAGTGTTGCAGGCTGACTGTTGGGTTGCAAATCTGCCTGTTAATGAGGACAGTGGCTGTTTTGATTCACCTTGCTGTGAGCTTATGGAAATGCCTTGTTTCTACCGGCAGGCTACACTTTCTCCCAAAAACTAATTTCTATATATTACTGCAAAATATGTACTTTCCAAGACTGAGGGGAGATGAGACAAGCCATGTTACTAAATTGGCCTTGGAACTTTTGTCAAGTTTGAATGGTGAGATTTCATTTTTTGCCCCTCACCAGACACCAGGTTTGGAGACAGATATGGTGCCAGCTGGCGTCAGGCATTAAACTTCCGATTATGGATCAAAATGAGTCCATTTCTGCTAGTGGCAGGTAGCCTCTGACTGAATCATTGCTTGAGATTAAGGGTAAGTTTGAAGTTAAGCAAGCTGCGCATTTTTCAGCACATACTAGACACATGGGGCAGATCCTCAGCCTTACGTGAGTCATTTTGTCTCCCAGGGCTTCAGCAGAACTGGGATTTTGCCGGCTGAAAGCCTGTGATCATAGCTTGCCTGCTGCATCCCTATTTGCTTGTGTCCTTTGGTTTTGTTACGGCATAAATCAGAGCCAGCCAGGGTGCTTAGATAGCAGTGCTGACTTGTGCTCCATTGCAAGAGAAACTAAGCAAGTTGCATGGCTTTTCCATGCAACCCTCATATAAAAGGAGCGTGAT